GACAGATACGAAAAAACTGTTCGCTGTTCATCTGAAATTCAAATTTAACTGAGAATTCTGTATCTTGTTGAAATCGAGCTTGGTGCTTACAACTGTGCTGATGTCTAATAAATACTGCAGAGTTATAGGTACACGTTACTCGCGTTAAGAACTGAGGGACAGCTGAACCAGGCAAAATTCAAACTCGGCTTCCCTTCCACGCAAACCTGGTCTACGGCAGATGTCTCTCTGTTTTGGGGGGATGACTAACTGGAATTTCAGAACACAAAGGTTCACAGCATCAAGCAATGAGTTTTGACTATTTGGTTAAATGTGATGCACAAGAGATTTTCTCACAGAAACACTCAAGCCAAGACACCCCACCACCACAAAAAAAAAAAAAAAAATCTCTTTCCAAACCTGGACAAGATTTGCACCTAAAAAGCCAAAAAGATTGATCTACGTAGAACAGGCCCCAAATCTCTGAACCAGCACCCATCCTGGGCAGCTCCCTGCTGCCGATTTTATGACACCTTTACTTCAACTTCTTCTCCCACAGGCCCAAACCGAGGAAGCCATAAAACCCGGGGCAAACACGGCCATTTGCTAAGAGAGAAGCCGGCGTGGGGCCCATCTGCACTTTACACGGGCTTTGCTTGTCCTGCCTTTGTGTGTCACCATGTACAGGGTAGCCCGCCTCCCTCAGAGCACCTGGCCGCTGGCAGAGGCCTTGGCTGGGTTTTCTCCATTTGGGGGGAAGATTCAGAGGAAGCCCTGCAGGGAGTGATGAGCCCTTCCCCAGGCTGGACTCCAAGCCCTTCCTTCACAGCTGCCATATCGTACTCAATGTCAGCCACTTACAGCCGCAGGACAAGCGACCTTCTCCTAACCCTATGGATCTCTGGCTCCTGGAGGCCTTCCACATAGCAGGCCCCCAATAAACACTGAGGAAGTAAAGCTCTCTTCCGACAGGAACCCCACAGCCAAAGCAGTAGGGAGAAGAAAAAAGAAAAAAAAAAAAAAAAAGCCTGAAATCATTACCAGGGCTAGACCCGCTACCCACATTCTTGATCTTATGATAAATGAGGGAAAATATCATGACGTGCCTTCGAACCACAAAAGATTTCCATGAAATTCAAGAAGTCCCTTTAGCAGTTCTAATTTTAGGCAGAACTTAGGAGAGAGGCTGCTGGTGGCAGAGGCGGGGGCAGTGGGGAGGAACCGAACAAGGCCCCTATTCTGCTCCGCGCAGGTGCTGGTAACTGGACACCCCGTCTTAAGTGAGACGTGGGGTGGGGAATTCAAGGTGTGGCTGGCGTTTCTTCACTCCCAGTCACATTATATAATCCCAGACACACTCTCCGACCCAGTACAAAGTTCTCTCTCCATCAGGCCCTATTCAGCTCCTAACATGCTGATCCTTGAGCAACAAGGCTGAGGAAAACATTTGATTTTAGCATCTGACTTTTTTTTTTTTTTAACTAAGTTAATTATTAAAAGAAGAAAGACATCCACAGGGTGAACTGTCCCCAAGATTGGCCAGAGTCTCTTAGTCTTAAAAGCCCCTCAAACATCACTGAATTCTATGCTGGCTCAATTACTTAAAATAATAATAATAAAAAAATACAAATATCAAATCACTGTTATACACCTGAAACTAATATACTGTTCTATGTCAATTATATTACAATAAAAAAAAAAGTAATCTGCTCTTTGCAAAAGTTAGTTTTGCCAAGACTTGGATAGAAACTCCAAAACAATTCCAGGACCCCCTTAATATAGTCAACATTTTCTAAACATCAGAAGTCAGTCAACTGGCTTTCCACACACAGTCACTTGCAAGCTACTGTTCCCCCACATAGACAGTCGATGGGTCCTTGCTCCAGCCACATGAATGTCTCATCCCCTCTTTCCTCTGGGACCAGCTCACAGCAGACGACTTGATTTATGTGGGTGGGCGGGAAGGCGGCCAGTAAGCGATTTTGCACACCACCATTCATTAGTGACCACCACCAGAGGAGGGTGGAAGAAAGGGGAAAAACAAGATTTCCTCTCATCAAGGAATCGATAAGTTATTTAACAGCTGGATCCCCATGGGAGAAAAGTGACGCACCCTTCCTTCCTGAAAAGGGTAAAAACGCACCCCCTGATGGCCGAGGACTTAACTGGATGAGGATCATTAAGAGATGACAGACAGAATCCTCTCTAGCCCTGTGATGCCTTGAGGTGCATTGGTTTTGGAAGGTGGATGGTGCTAGGCCTTGAAATTACTCCATTTTTTGTTGCTGTTGTTGTTTTTCTCCAAAGAGGAAACTGACTCCCTTCCTGTGCTACTGTTCATTTTGGAGAATCAAATGCTACTAAAAAAGCCGTTTTCCTTACCCTTTCCTCACCCCAATCCAACGTCGCTGCTGAGAAAAATAACCTCAATTTTTTCCCAAGGTGGCATTCCAAAAGGGCTTCCAACATTTACACTTGTCCTTCAAAGCAAACAGAAAGGGGGCCAAAGGCATGACAAACCCATCGAGGGAGTTCAAAGAAGAGAAAAAGAGGCTAAGCGGGTCATTAGAAAGTCAGCTGATTTCAGATATTAAAAACTGACTTTTATTGCTGGCAACTTCATGCACACGCATACTATACACTGCTTATCCTATATGCCCAAATTTTAAAAGTCCCTCTTAAAATGTCACTGTCATCTAATCCATGAAGAAGTCTTGTAAGAAGAAAACTCCATGAAAATATTCAGAAACTATGTCATGCATAAATCATCTTGAAAACCAGACACCCCTTTTCTTTCTTCCTTCTTATCTCTCAACTCCCCCAAAAGTCTGAAATTCCGCAGACCCCACGGCATATAGAGTCTTCCGTTCTACCTTGCCTTCAAACCTTTAACTGCCAAAACAAATCAAACAAAAACCTTTAAAATAAATGCCTTCCCACAGGATGTTGAACAAATTCTACTACCTTCAAAGAGAAAGAACTCAAGAACCACAAACTATAGATCCAGCACTGAAGGGGCATTAAATAGGTCTTTATTTTTAACTGGAATCTTGTGGAGGGAGAAGCACACCAGCTTAGCACCCACAAACCCCCAGGGCCAGAGTGCTGCAGGTGGAAAGCAGGGGGGCCCACCCAGGGATGGGTAACCTTCTGAAGGGCTTTGGGTTCAAGCAAGTAAACGGGAAAAACTGAGCCTGGGTTCTGGATTGAGGGACAAAGAGAGAGGAAAAACTCCAGATGTGAACACTCTGGGACTGCAGTGGGCAGACCTATCAGGTCACCGGGTCCTTGTCAGCACAGAGGGACTGGAAATATCCATTTCTCTCCTCCAAAAAACACCAGCAGCTTTACCAGTCCATCTCAAATTCTTCCCCTAGCGATGAGAATGCATGTGTGCCTCAAATCAAATCTTGTTTGATTATAAAGCCGGTAAAATTGAAGTTAAGCAGAAATACCCTCCAGAGTCCAAGGAGGGGACACCAATCTTTGTCTTAGAAGAGTTCAATGTGGATTGGGGGCAAAGGAATGCAAGGGGCTGTCTTTGAACATCCATCTAATGCCATGCGGCTGGCTTAGAGGCATTTTTTTGCAAGCAGGGTCTCTCTGAAGATAATGCCACATGAATGTCAATTTCTGACAAAAGGCACAGGCTCTGTAAAAGGAGATTTCAAAATGGACAAGACCAGGACCCAGGACGGAGGCACCTTGGAAAAGTTCACCCTGGGCGAGGTGGCAGTTGGTTCTAAAAGGGGAAAGCTGGCCGTGACAGCTGAGCATTCCTTCCCAAAGTCCATCTCGGAGGCCGAACCCTCTCCAAACCTCATACTTCATCAGACAAAAGCTCCTCCTGGCGCCCAGGCCGCGGCTGAAGAGGGGCTGTTCACACCCACTCGCTGCACAGCTTCCAAACCTGCCCACTCGTTTTGGAAGCCGAGCTTTTAATTAAACACCACCTCCCCGGATCTGTTGAGGCAAACTGGGGCTGGGCTGGAGCCAAAGAGAAGCTCCCTAAATACATATTAAAAAAAAAAAAAAAAAATCCCCCCACCGCCTCCAATTCCCACCTCCAGCCAGCTCGCGTGGCTGGTTATATTTCCTTTGGATGAGTAACACACGGCCCTGGGTCTATCTCTATGCACCAGAAAATCCACCTCCAAGGATCAGGTTATCCCCAGTCCCACCCTTCGCAGTAAAAAGCCAGGGTGTTGTTCCCCGCCCCCAACACAGGAGTGTGCGCGCACGCGCGCACGCACAATTTTCACAATCCTCCCAAGAGAAAACGTGGAGTCTGTGTGTGTTGGGTGGGTGGATGGGATACGTTTGTTTGGGGAGCCCCAACCTTGCCCTCTTGTTGGGAGCCGCAGTCAGGGGAAGAAGGGGCCCCTGCAAAGCTGCTCTGGGAACTTCTGCTCGGCGCCCCCAGGGAGGGCCGAGGGAAGGCATGCACGGCCTCGCCAGCTGTGGAACAGCCTAATTAATTCCTAATTTGCTCAGATCCCCGCTTCCCCCTCCAAGGTGGACCTGAAAGCCAAGGAGGGTGAGGAAGGTTTCTCTCCCAGTCCCTCAGGCGGGGAGCTCCTTCCCGCAGCCGGGCAGAGCCCCGACTCCCTCCCCACCGCCGCGGCAGGCTTCCCCTCCCCGTACCCGGGGGAATCAGGTGTCCGCCCAGGCACCCAGCCTCCGCGGGTCGCAGACACTCCGTCCAGCAACAGACAATGGAAAACTTGGAGGCAGGGCCCTGAGCCCCTGGGGAAAGGACATGGGGTCGCCCCGTGGGACAACGATCGGGGAGAGGACAGGAGGCATCAGAACCCCCTAGAGAAGCCGCCCGCGCGGTGACCCAGCAGAGCCCAGAGCGGCGCCCCGGGTGAGCAGGTGAAACCAGGCCGGAGCGCTCCCTCAGGTGGCTGGCGGCCACCGCGCAGACAAGGGCCGGGCTCCTGGCCCCGGGCGGAGGCGAAGCTCCGCAGCCAGGTCTGTGCGCCGCGGCCCGCGCCGCAGCCGCGCCCCCGGCGACCTACCTTCATGTCGCTGATGATGGTCTGGAAGAGGCCTCCGAGCGCGCTGCATTCCTTCTCAATCACAGCCTCCATTTTCCCGGCGCCGGCAGGGACAGGGCACACACTCAGGGCCGCCGGGACCGTGCGCGGGATCAGGGCTCGCTCACTCCGGGAGGAATTTCACCCGCCGAGCGACCCACCTCTGACTCGCAGCCTCTCCTGCAAAGAGGACGAAGTGCCCGAGATCGACTGCTCTCTGCCCAAAATAAAAATCACAATTTTAAAAGCCAAACCGCTCTGTAGGGTGATTCGCCTACATGCAGCGCTCGGCTCCTGGCCTTAAAAATGCCCAGAGAAGACTGACAATCAGGCCACCAGTGGTGCCCACGACGGAAACGGCAAAGCCCATCCTGAAGCAGAGAAAACCACCCGCTGACCCGGGGCCAGCGCCATTTAAAAATGCGATTTTTTCTAAATTAATAAAATTTTTTGGAAATTTAAAAAACAATCGCCCTGCAGCAGAGCGGGTCTGCTCGCGGCGCCCGGATCTGTTGCTCACAGCCGCGGCCGCCGCCTCCTTTTCACTCCTGCGCGCCCAGCCCCGGCGCTCGCTCTGGCTCGGCTCCCAGGGACGTTCGAA